GCATTTTAGATCCAAAAAACGCATTTGCGCAGATCAGGCGTTTTTCCGCCCATTTAAACCAATGTAATTTTGCCCCTTAGTTTTGATCCCTTTGAGCATCACCTAAAAAAGCTTCAAATTGGCTCAAATTTAATACAGCCTATTATTTTCATAGGTATCATCGATTGCCACCCGGATCTCGTAGATTTTCCGACATGACGAAAATAAGCCGCACCCTAATCATCGATGCCCCCTTAGTGTGCCTTAAATGTCATGTAGGGCGGTTATTGGGTACATTGTGAAAGAAGGGGGGGGGGGTTTCTTCACGGCCAGGAATTTCTTTTTCTGGAGACAAAGCGCGTTCCCAAACATACCTTACCTGGTCAGCAGCGCAAAGGGTGTGCTGCTTTAATGCATCTTTTATGGGGGGGGGGGGGCAAATTACGAAGTACCCTATTTTTGGTGTAAATAGAAATTTTCTCTGCAGATGCAGGGGCTTATTTGCTGCTTTTCCTTAGTAAGGACGGTAAACCAAGTACATGCAGTGCGTAGAAAATTTTTCCGATGCAACAGTGGCGTTCCTCCTACTTTCATCCTCAAAAACACTTCCAAATATCTACTTCTAAACCCTAGAAAAATTTTCCTACCGTCTCCGATACGAGACAGCAGCAGATATCCGCCCCTGCGTCTGCTAAGAAAACCTCCATTTACCGCCAAAAATAGAGGCGACATGCGGGTATATTTTTCCGGGGTTTGAAAATAGGCATCTGGAAGTGCCTTTGAGGACGAAAGAGGGAAAAACGCCGCTGTACATCGGAAAAGTTTTCCACGTGCACTATGCACTTGGTTGTAGGGAAGGATTCCAAGCCCGCTGTTCATTTTGCGATCAATTTTAATTAAATAGTAGAGTTCGCCTCTAAGCGAGAAAATTGTAGAAATCGTTCCTAAAATTCCATGAGTATGCTGATTATCGGCAATATATCGTCGTTTAAAAGTGTAATGAATCAAATAAAGAATCAAATTTGTTGCGGTTTCATCCATCTCCATCTCATAAAAACTTAAGGAATAGTAATTAGTTCATTATACATTTTTTCTTATTTATCATGTTAACCGGAGTATTTTTTTTTATTATAGGTATTCATTTCGTCTCAAGAGAGTATGAAAGGATTTTCCAAAATTAACAATTTTCATGAAAATTTTGCAATGATAGATCAAAAAACAGCGAATATTCCAGTTCTGTTGCGCATGAACGCGGGCCGACGCGAGGTTGCACGGCGCATAAGTGGCGAACCTCTACCCGAGCGCGCGACCAAAACCGTCCTCACGCGTTTTCTATTCGTCACAAAAAAAAGGTTTTGGTATCGTTTTGAAGGTCAGAAAATCCTCCACCCACCTCAAGAAAATAAAGGGCTCTAATTGCGCCCAGAAACAAAAAATCAACGGCTGTTAAGATGATCGAAATTAAAAAAATCACGTATTTTGTCATAATACGGCAAATTATCTTAATATCTAATTTGAAAAATAGAATGAAATTGTGAATCAACCACTGTACTAATTGCGAGGGGCGTTGGTTCATTTGAAAGGTGTTGTTCTCAATGCTTCGGGAAAACTATAAATTATTTTCTGGGGTTCGTCCCCGATTTTTAAATCCCTAAAAACTCATAAATTGGATGAGGAGAAGTGGGGGTTTTTTGTTTTTTGTTTTTCGGAAAAGTTTTGTTGCTACGCATCTTACTTTACTGTTTGCTGTCTTTTTATCAGCTGTTTTCATTCAACAATCATCATTAAGTGAGGTTACTTCCAACACTCAACTGCCATCAACTTACATTTTTCTTTTCCCGCGTTTTTTTTTCCGGTTTTTCATGATTGGTTCCATCTTTTTCCTATTGCCAATTTTTCCTCATTAAGTCAATAACCTCCAAGTTTTTTTTTCTCATTTCCGATCAGAACTTTTCACGCTGTTTCTTTTCAATGTGTATAAATATGTTTATTATTAATTTCCATTTTCATTTCATCCTTTTTCTTCTGATTTTTTTTTATAAATTTAAAAATTGAACTTTTCAGTTATGATTTTGTTAAAATAATAATAATTTTTACTAATTTTAATTTTAAATTTAACAGTTGTTTTGAGTGAAATTTTCAATGACCGAGGCGGTCGTCCTCCAAAACGTGGTCGCGTTTTCTAGAATTCTTCGCCACCTCCGCCTTCTTGACCTCTTCCACTGATTCAAAATTTACTCCTCCAAGTTCAGATTTCAGGAACGGGAATAAATGGTGGTCTGGTTTGCCATTTATTGTCGTATCTGAAATCTGAACTCGGAGGAGTTAATTTTGAATCAGTGGAAGAGGTCAAAACAAGCCGTCCACTCTTTCATCCGCGGTCAGCTGAAAGACTTCCACGCACGAGGCATCCAAAAGCTGTTCTCTTAGTCTTAGTCTCAGTATCAGACTTGCTTGGATCGAGCTGCTTATGTGGAGAAGTGAGGTAAGCCCCTTATTCTACAAAAATTTCTTTGATTTTTCGTCAGTGATGAACGACTGAGGCTTTGGCAGAGAAGCTCTTCTCCTGTAGCGGACTTCAAATCCTCGCAGATTCGGCGGGAGCGTCGAGCTCCTCGGCGCGTTCAAACGGCTCGCGTTCGGCCGCACATAGTCCGATTTTGTTGCGGTTTGTTTTGTTGAACTCAAAATATCCTAAGGAAGATTTTGAGCCCAAGTTTTTTAAAATTGGTCCATTCTTATGGATTTTAGAGAGGGGGGATACTTACTTATTGAACGCCCCTCGTATTTAAAAAATAAAAAAAGATCTTCTTTAAAATTAGTTTGAAAACAAATGTAAAACCTAAAAAATAATTTTGTATGAAGATTAAAACAAAATTTTAGTTTAAAGTTTACTAAATAAAATTACAATTTTTGAAAACATTTGTTATATTTATTCTCTCAAAAAAATAATTAGACCCGATTCAAAGACAAAACAGAAAATTAAATGAAAATAAATAAATAAAAAAAAAAAAGAAACATGTGAAAGTGAAAAGTGTACAGGAAAAATAAGGGGCTGCGAAGCAGCCCCATAAGCCCCTAGTTTAAAGGTAAATGTGAAATGCACATAATTTGAAAAGTTCTTTATAGTAGCTTTCAAACGAGACAAAAAGTTTGAAAATGGAACGAATGGTTGGAGAGATACAGCGCGTTTTACACGTGTGAAGCGCGCCCGTGGCCATGAACGCGGGGTGGAAGACGCGCGCCGCGGCCGATCGCGCGACACTTAAATGGCGCTCGCGGGCTAACTACTCGTAGCACAAAAGTGGTTTTGGTATCAAATTAAACGCGAGATTAAGATCCATATCTTTCACTGAAGAGAAAATATCAATTTTCCTGCTCAGTGAAAAGTTAGTTTTGCTTTGAAATTTTAGGAATTTTCAAGGAAAAAATTTTTTGTAAAATTTCAGACAAATTGTTGGCCGAGTTGAATCTGTTATAATTTATTCGTGTTATAGGCCCTTTTAGCTCTCTTTTAAAAAAAAGAAAATCAAAATCGGACAATTAGCAACAGCGATATAGCACTTCAAAAAAGCGCTTGGCCGCCATCTTGGATCCTGCACGGATTTGAAAGTGATTCTACGGACAAAAACTTTTATTTTTTCATCTAGTATGACCTCCCGAAGTGGCAATTACCAATCAAAAAATCGTCGATTTTGATCATACCCACCGTACTATCATGGCCGACGCCAATCCGCCAAAACACGTGTGATGGGACGAGATAACACCTGAACTGGATTAGAGACCAGATAACAATCGGCGTGTTAACGTTCATGTTTTCCACGCCCGAATTGATTGACCTTGAACTCTCCTCGAATTACGCGCGGAACTGCGCGCAAGCGTCGGCCGTGATGAATATCGCCGACGATGGAGCGACTCCTCTAACAAAATGTTCACCTGTGCCATGGTATCGTTTTTGAAGCGGGGAGCTTAAAAAAACGCAAATTTCTTACGCAGATTGTGAAATTATGAGTGCATTTCAGACTTTGCCGATGCGCTCATCGTGATTTTTGAGGCATTATCTATAAGAAACAGCTCTTAGTTTTGCTCCAGCAAAAGTTTGCAACATGCCCATTTGACATAAATTCAAATTTTTTAGTCAAATAATTGTTGAGTTGAAAATTGAAGTAACTCGAAAAGAGGTAAATCAATTTGTTTTTGGCTGGAGGTCGGTCATATCGTGAGGAATGCGGATGCAAAAATTCTGAGTGGAGACTTGATGGAGTCAAAAGTTATGAACGAAAATACTTCACTTTTCTCAAGTGCGAGAGCGAGGCAGGTGACGCGAGCGGCCCCGTGCCGCGGCGTTCCTGGAATGTGGAATACCTCACGGCGCCTGTTATGTTATACGGACGGATCCTGGGGAACCAGTTCCGGGAACGCCGCGGTTCGGGGCCGCNTCGCGTCACCCGCCTCGCTCTTGCACTTGAGAAAAATAAAGTATTTTCATGCATAACTTTTGACTCCATCGAGTCAAGTCCCAAATGTCAGGAAGAGGACTTGATGGAGTCAAAAGTTATGAATGAAAATACTTTATTTTTCTCAAGTGCGAGAGCGAGGCGGGTGACGCAAGCGGCCCCGAACCGCGGCGTTCCCGGAACTGGTTCCCCAGGATCCGTCCGTAACATAACAGGCGCCGTGAGGTATTCCAGGAACGTCGAGGCACGGGGCCGCTCGCGTCACCCGCCTCGCTCTCGCACTTGAGAAAAGTGAAGTATTTTCCTTCATAACTTTTGGCTCCATCAAGTCTCCACTCAGAATTTTTGCATCAGCATTCCTCACGAAATGACCGACCTCCAGGCAAAATTTTGACAAAAAAATTTGAATTTATGTCAAATTGTGTTTCGTATAAGTAAAAAGTGCATTTGAAGGGATTTTCATTGCTATCAGAACGGCTAGGCTCGCATTAACCGTTCTAAAGTTATATTTGCAAGAAAAATGGTTGGGACAAAACTACGGTTCATTATAATTTTCCAACTTACCTTTTCCTACGGCCATCACCACCGGGATAAAACTCAGAATCCTGGAAAACATAAAAAAGAACATCGTTACTGCGGCAGCGCCCTTATTCCTTAGAAAAGAAAAACATTGGGAATCCATAAATTCCACGCAGATGCTCTGAATTGTTAAAAACTTCAAGCAACGGCAAAAATCTCCGAGCAGGAGACGAATGGACAGTTTATTTTCTAGATGGGGTTTATTTTTAATTGCCTTGGTCACAATGATCGAGGGCGGTTTCTTACGGATCTCGGACTTGGCTTCAGAATCAAAAAGTAAAATGTGAACAGTTCGCCACTTGAATCGAGAAAAAGAAGAAATGAAATGATGCTTAATATTGGCGCTGGAAGTAAAAAGTAAACCCACCTCAGACATGAACTGTCCAAGATTCCGCTTTCGCTTCGAGAGGGTCTTAGCTGCTGCTTCCACTCAATGGAAACCGGAGCAACTAAAAAGGGTCATCCCGGAACCTCTTTTTTGGTCACCTCATGTCTTCTGAGCTCCGTGTGTAGCACCCGAAAAACAGACCATTACGTCAATTTTTTTTTTGCTTCTATCAACTCATGTTGTATAATTAAACACTTTAAGTAAAACGACTTTTTCCGCGAAACTGCACCATTCCCAAGAAAATCGATAATAAAAATTGCCCGTAAGTACCAACCTAGGTGATCAAAACAATCCAAGATGCCCGAAATGCAAACGCCTCCTTTTTTTTCCTGTGCTCAATTGCAGAATTTCCAGATACGTTTTTAATACCACGTGGAAAATACTACGTAGAAAATATCGCGAAAAACAAAGTTTTTGTGCTTCAAATAATTGATAGGAAATAATTGATTGAACATCTGATCGAAATTTTAAATATTGATTCACTAGCCAACTCGAAAGACATCCAATTTATCAATTAATTAATCGCTAATCAAAACCTCTATAGTTTGTTTGTAGGTTAAGTCATGGAATTGGTATATCTCATAATTGACTCGACTGATACTCCTCCCGTGATTTCTCACATCTTTCCTTTGCCATAATTTTTATGACAGCTACAGGGATTTCGATCCTTACATTGTCTTTTCATTGTCGATACTGAACGTTTCTGATTTGGTGTTTCTCCATCCTTCTTGTACATATACTTGTTCCCATGGATTTGTAGAATCCTAATAGAGGGATTTCAATGAGTTCTCCATGTCCTCTGATAGCCTGTGCAACTGAATGGCTGATATTACTTCTTTAATCTTTTAACTAGGAAAAATTAATTAAAAAAATCATTGCACATACTAAAGTTTGTTCTTGTTTCGCTGGAGTAAGGCGTAAGCCCTGCCAACAGGTTAAAATAGTCTCTCTTGGTCCCTTGGAGCCTACAAGTGCGGTGACAGAATGAAGAAGGTGTTAACCTCAGCAAAATCTTTTATTTCACAGAACTTGGAGTTCACAACTGTATTGATTATCATTTCCAATACTTAGTTTTGACGGTTGTATTCCCCAGGGATTTCCATCCACATACTATAGTTTTGTCAGCATATCTCCAGTCCATCTTTCTTAGTCTTGTCTCAAGCACCCGACAAGCAAAATTTCGATAAAACACCTGCCGGCTCATCATGACATGGATTACATACATGCAAGGCAACTAAAATGTAAGTATGTGATGATTGGGGGAGAATGTGATGGTATACCCCAGTTTCTAGAGCGATGTTTAAAAAGTGCAATCCCAATGAAAGAGAAAGTGAACAACTAACAGGCGGTAAAATTAAGAGCGATCTCATATGAGCTGGTAAAGTAAACAGGGAACTTCAACTTGTGAACTCCTCTGAAAAAAAACTCACCTCGGATGCTTGGCCTTGCTTGTAATCCACACGCTGCCGCTTGGATAAACAATCGTCATTGAACGACATTTTGTACCTGAAGTGATATAGTAAAATATAAGTTGTGATAGTTTAAAAGCAAATACAAATTGCACAAGAGACATTCACGATTCTTCGGCACACAGTCACGCAGCCGCAACACCCTTCCACCGCACCGACTACCGAAACTGACAAACATGGAATGGACCTGACCATTCTGACCTAGTGTTGTTGATTGCTTTTCGATTTCCTGAAGATATCGATTTTTTGCATAAAACGATCGATTGAATTGAATCGATTTTTTGCATGCGATTTTGCGGTTGAATCAATTTTTACTTACAAATCGAGATTTTTCGATTTTTTACAAACACAAATGTTACTCCTAAATGATGAAGGATAAATACAAGCCTATATTATTCTTCAAAACTAAAGGAAGCCATCGAAATTTCTGCAATTTAAGGTAACGATGGTAAATTATCGAGTGTGAAGTAATTTGGACCCGAATATCGATCTTTTACCCTACCTTAAATGACAATGAAACTCAACGCTCAGTGAGGCGATAATTTGAGAAAAACGAACGGCACAATATGCTCATCCTAAAAATCGATTTTTTTTTTCAGAACGATTCTCTTGAAAATCGATTTTTCGGATTTGACCACTAGATCGTATTCGATACATCAAACGGGTGAGATTGTATCGATATCGATTGGTTCAAAACATAAACATAGCCTTAAAAGTAAATTCAGAAATCTGAGAGAACGGATCTTTTGAAACAGATTTTTTATTCTTTTGAGTACCAAATGCCAATGCAAAGTGAAATCGTCAGGAAATTTCTCATTTTCAGCTTTTCCAATGAAAATCCTTACAGTTTGGTTTGAGGTTATGTTCTATTGTTTTGAACCAAACGATACATCGAACCGTTATCGAATACGGTCTCTTGACATTTCTGCGACTAATCGATTTTTTAAAAAAAATCAACAACACAACATAGACAGAGTATGGCCATTCGTATCTTTTTATCTTTTTACGTACTCTACGTTAAGGGGGCCCGTTTTTTATTTAATTAAATTACAATCAAATTAACATTGAAACGTTTATGCGTTTAGACGTTAAAATTAATATCGCATTATCAAAATTCCGCAGAAAATCCCACAAAATTTTGACGAACGATAAACCGAACATAATAAATCAAAATAATCACAACATTCAAAATGGCTGACGTTAGGGGCCGCTGGAGAGCCAATCAGAGGCCAGTTGTTAAGTTCTGTCCATACCTATTCCTGCCATTCCTGGCATCCTGGCATGTCTTCTAGTGCTTGCTGCTTGCTAGTCTAGTACGAGCAGAGACAAGAGACCCTCCACTAGTAACTTGGCTATGGTGGAAGCTTTTACTTTCGGGACTTCAGCATTCTACTGTTGACTTACCTACATGGTTGATGTTCAACAACGTGTTGGCAGTTTCGTTTTGCAAACAAGCCGAAAATGGCCGACGTTTGGGAAAGTTGTTTGGCTTATGACGTCATCCGAAGCTCATCATCGACCATGTAGGTAAGTCAACAGCCGAAAATATGGTGATGACTGTTGCTCGCTCATAATTGTCCATAAGGCTAGAGTCCTTTTATACCCAGAGTCATAGAGAAAAAAAAGGAGGTGTTTGCATTTCGGGCATCTTGGAATTTTTTGATGACTTGATGACGTAGGTGGGTACAGTGTGAAGGGGACGTCCCTGTACCTAGCTGTACCCACCTACGTCATCAAGTCATCAAAATATTCCAAGATGCCCGAAATGCAAACACCTCCTTTTTTTTCTCTATGACCCAGAGTTACGACAACTCACTTTTGGTTGGGCCAGGATTGGGCTGAAAGTGGCCTAAAAAAAAATCCAATTCTGATTGGTTCTCGCTCATGGAGGCCGAAACTAGTGCACCAAGATGGCGGTACCTCGTATGTGAACAAGAATAATGAAAATATTACCTAATTGTGGTTTATCAAGAGTAAATTGTTATTGCCATCGGTCCAAAATGAAAATAGATTAAGAAATTATTCACAAACCAATCTCATTTTCTTTTTAATTGATCAATTTGTTGATGTTGTTGTTTCTGTGTGACAGACATCGCAGGATTCCTGATCCTTATCCCCCAATATCGTTCGTTTGAGTGCACTAGTTTCGGCCTCCATGGCCAGCCAAGGTCGGCTGCCAGTCAGCTGATAATCGAGTTGTCGTTACTCTGGGTATAAAGGGACTCTACATAAGGCATTGTTGAAACCCCGAAAGTAAAAGCTTCCACCTGTCGCTAAGAGGCCAGTGGAGGGTCTCTTGTCTCTGAGTACGAGTGAACAGATTGGCCAAAATTGGCCCAGATATTCTGGACCACATTTCACCAAAAACTGCTGTTTATCAAACCGCCGTCAACACCTACCAAGCGGCGAGTAGGCCTTCGGCCATGCTCGGCAATCTTCGTAGCCAATCAGGTTGCCGCTCGCCGCCCGTAACAGGGACCAGTTCTATTGGACCCTGGACTCCCGTAAGCAAGGCGGATAAAGAATGGTGGTCGCATTTCGATTTTGGCTGCCATCTTGAAGCGATGTGACGTCAGGAGGGTACTGGTTTTGCCGTGCAATCCAAGGTTGAGCCGACCCCCCCGGCCTCGGCCGGCCCATGTACCCGATGTGCCCGATACAGTGTGACGTCCAGAGGGTACGAAATGCGACCACCATTCTTAATCCGCCTTGTCCCGTAAGAGTCAATGTAAAAATTCGTGAGCAGGTACTAGTGCTGCATTCTCGCGTAGGATCCTCGCAACTCACTGCTGTTATCATTTGTTGGACTTCATTAAAATCCGTAGGATCGCGTATAACTGCAAAAAATCGAATTTTTCACCATACTACTACACGCGGCGGGCCCTGCCTTGTCGAAAGGGGTCGAAAAACGCCAAAAATATACTTATTTTTCAAGAATTCAGCCGCCTTATGTGTTATTTTTCAATCTCCGGCTTAACCTCACTTTTGGAGCGGGCGATGGATGAGTCGAGGTTCGGGGGGGAGGATCCTCTGAGTTGACTAGGATCCTACGCGAGAATGCGCTGCAATCACCCGCTCACAACAGAACGGCGTCCTATAGAACTCGTCCCTGCCCGTAATCTCGAAGAAGGTTCGGCTCCTACACCACCCTACACTTTTCGAATTTTGGATTTTGGCATTCGGCCTGATTCTCTTTTCCTCTTTTCCGTAATTAATAACAATAAAAAATTCATTTAATCATTACTTAGCGGCACCTTGTCCAATTTGTGCCGAGCGCCTCTACAACTTTGCAAATTTGGACGTTACCTTTTGAACATTCCATCCCTTCCCTTTGAAATTACTTTGAATAAGTACACTTCACATATCACACGGGACTTTTATCTGCATATTTACTTGGCTTTATTCGCAAAGGATCTTTTAAGAAGTAAATTCTTTCGATAACTTATTAGGTGGTCAAGTCACCAATTAGAGCCCGTCATTCCGTGCCATTATTATTACAGGACTAGGTTTCTTACCTATAATTTGATGGGCACCGTGAGAATAATAGATAACCGTATTTGATCCGTGCCTTAAAAACTGAACTGCTGGTGGCAGAACCATCTTGGTGATGTTCATTAGGAATTTTAGACTTTATTCTATTTTTTCAGCAGATGAACCTTACATGGTAACTTGTAAAGTTTTGCCTCATTTTCCTTGAGTTCTACTTAGTTTGATGCCAAAAAACAAGGAAATTCATGGAGAAACGTGCCTTAAAGGTGATAGTTCCCCCTCATACTTACTATCAGAGTTCCAACGGAAAAAATCTTGTTGTCATAGGTAAATACGGTTTCCATTGCTTCTTCAGCTGTTATAGACAACTATGCGGGTTTGCTGGAGAATTTGGTGACTGCTAGGATTGTTAATTAGTATCTCCGAAGCCTGGTTGTTAAAGCTAAACTTAAAGCATTGGCTTCAACGCATCGCAAAACCAGAACCTTGGAGAGACCAGTGAACATCCATGAGAAAGTGAGTGAGGAGCAAGGTACCTAGCATTGTACATCCGTCTGGTTTTCACAACTACCGTTCCTAGGGATTTAGGATTCAGATTCGCACATCAACCAGTAAGCTTTTCTCCCAATCATCTTGATATATAGGCAGCTATGCAAGGCGCAGCCAGGTAGTCCAATGCTCAAGCCACTTAATCAACACAAATATTATCCTAACTTACAACAAAATGACTTGTTTCTTCTCTAACAATGGAACCGGAAAATGTTACTTTGAATGCGCGAGAAACTTCTTTGGTCGAGATGAAGAAACGTAAATGAAGAAATGAGTCCGGAACATCTCGACCAGGTACAGGCCGCTGTGTTTACATTAGGAGTCTGGAGTATCTCGCCGCAATTTCACTTGAAATCACCATGAACAGATCAACGGGGTAACTGATATTTGATTTTACGAAAGGGATAAATGTTAGACGCGGACGAAAGTTCTTTTGTCGAGGTGAAGAAACGCTAACGCTGAGAAATTGAGTCTGGAACATCTCCTAGAGGAAGTCCGCTCTGGGTACGCTATGTTTATGTCCGGACTATATGTCGCCGTTCGTTTGTTTACATTAGGAGCGAGTTTGACACCGACGACAGACCATGGACCAATAGAATAAGTAAGGACTCCCAACTCCCTATGCTACCCTGCTACTACCCTGTGTTAAAAACCGTTAACGCGCGCTCGCAGCGAACCTGGCAGAGGGTGCGGTGAACTAACGCCGCAGCGGTCCACGATCGTACCTCTATAGTATGTTATTCCATGCAATGTTCTTTGTTTATCTATGATTTATTTATTTGTGTAGATACTTTAATACATTTTACTTTCGCAAACTAATGAAATTGTATAGATACATACCTTCGGCAGAGGCCAATGCGAAAGACTTTGATTTGAAGTATCTTATCAAAACACGAGCAAAGATGATTCAGTCAACTTCTGACGCAGAATCAAAGAGACTTGCTAATAATCAAATTAAAGGTAATGCTTGAAGTCAAGTATCTTTGATTTTGTGACACTCAGTTGATTTTTATCAGTACAACACTATTTCTCACTAAAAAGATTTCACTTAACAGAGCGGCGCCTTCGGCTAAAAGTACAATCCTGATTCCTGCTGCACACTACATACACACTTCCTTTGGCTTTCTCAACAGCAGTTGCTGCTGAGTAAAACGGTTAGAAATAACACTTCACATTAATACCAGTTTATGTACACGAAGACTGACGAAGATTGAAATGAAAATGGGAAACTTTTCACACTAAACTCTTCAAAACTGCAGGGCGACCAAGAGGATACGAGGATCTAGAAACTTCTATGAGCACTCAAGGCGGATAAAGAATGGTGGTCGCATTTCGTACCCTCTGGACGTCACACGGTATCGGGTACATCGGGTACATGGGCTGGCCGAGGCCGGGGGGGCCGACTCAACCTCGGATTGCACGGCAAAACCCGTACCCTCCTGACGTCACAACGCTTCAAGATGGCAGCCAAAATCGAAATGCGATCACCATTCTTTATCCGCCTTGATGAGCACTACTGAGTGATAAGCCTAAATAGGTGGTGCATGGAAATATAAACAGGAAGACCCAATCATCGGTTGAGTTCACTACACCCTCTGCCAGGGAGCGCTGATGTCAGCGCTAACCGGAGTTGGGGGTCCTTATTTATTCTCTTGGTCCATGGACAGACTTTGGTTTTTGATGAAAATTTGGTCTGGAATATCTGGGCCAAATGGCCTGGTTACACGATCAAATTCCCGTCAAATTCCGATGAAAATGATGACCAAGATGGCGGTCGAGAGTTATCTAGATTGATGAGTAAAATTAATTAATACAGCGTGTTGATTGAAATAAGCATGAAATAAGCACGGTTGTGTGGAAATCAGAGGAAGGATGAGCCCCACAGCTCCATCATCTACAATCAAATTTTTGCAGGTCGCAGAAATTTGATGATAGATGGTGCGCACCAGTCACCATTTGATCGGAATTTGACGGGAATTTGATCGTGTAACCAGGCCAAAACGCAAAAACCGTCTAGTACAGACCTATGTTGTTGACCTATGTGTTGCTATCAGCTGGCTATCAGCAGGTGTATAATAAAAATTCCGACATGTCTCTGCTAGAATTGCCTGATGTTGCCTTGGAGCATATTTTCTCGTTCCTGGCGTACGATGAAGTAGCTCAAAAAAGAATCGTGAGTTCCGAGTTTCGCAAACTTGTTAAAATTTTACATTTAATCAATATGTTTTGGAGAGGTTATAATTCCAGATCATGAGGGGATCATTTTTAAAGATGGTTGGAAGTATTAGGAAAATGGATGAGAATAATAGAGAAAGCTGTCTTGCAAGTGTGTGATAATGTGGAAGAATGAAAGGTGCAGTACCCCCGCTAGAAGAGCACCCGTGTCCTTTGTCTAGAGGCGGACTGGCCCACCAAGAAATCAGAAAGTTCCTGATGGCCAGTCTATGGCTCAAGAGAGAAAATGAAGAAAAAAAATGAGAGACTGAAAGAGGAAAGGAAAGGAAGAGATGGAATTAAGGGAAGAGAAAGAACAAGGATGATATACAAGGGATGGTCAAATATTTAGATAATCGAATATTTGAATTATTGGCACCGAGATAATCGCATTAAATTCGAATATTCGCCTCCAAAATATTCGAAATGGCAAATTTGACTGTTCGAATAATCGCATTCCAATAAACACATTCAAATTCGAAAACCGTCCATCCCTATCATCAATCTTGTTATTAATTTTATCTAGTCCACAACTCCACACAAGAATGACTGTCCGTCTTATTTACTTAAAAGTGTCATTTATCTCTCACGGTTCATAAAGAATCAGAAATTGAAGCAATAATCGAAAATATTCGAATATTCGCTTCCAAAGTATTCGCAATCGCAAGATTTGAATTCTCAAATAATCAAATTCGATATTCGTCCATCCCTATGGTATACATACACCGAGAGGAAGATAACAAAGTTAGAGTGAGCTGCACATTTTAAGTAATTCTGCATTCTGACTTTATATCCTATGTCTAACTGGGATTCGATGTTAAAGAGGGAATAGAAAACAACACTCAAAGGTTCAGTGTTTCTTCTTTTTAGGTTCAGACCTCTGTGGTTCAATCTAGTTCCGTGGCGAATCTTCAGACAGCATTGACTTATTGCTGGAAGATGGTGTCAACTGATTTGTTTTACCAGATTATATCAATTTACACTGAATTTTGTAAGTTTATTTTTTAGGTTTGCCGGAAGTTCAATGAAATATGCAGTTTTGTCCTTAATCGAGGATTTCACAAAGTGGAACTGTATCATCGAAGAGTGTTGAAAGCGTTTAAGGCACTTCTACCCCGCAGGGAATCAGGGCGGCGAACCCATCCTCTTGCTCGGCACTGTGACATGCTGGTCGCCATTGAAACACGCCTCTCAATGCTTTCAATGACTTTTATGAAGTACATCGAGTTGAAGCAGTGTTGTTTTATACCTGGAAAGGTATGTGATTCGGTACTCACCTCCCTTGACTTTTGTATTTTTTTTATTTATCATTTTTTATTTATTTATTTATTTATTCATCCAGAGGTGATCAAAAAAAAAAGGGAAACACAATTACTCTAGTAGGGTAGGTGGGGGTAAGAGTACGCATTTTTTGGTTTTTCCTGTATTTCTGTGACCGAATCAACTTTTAAGGCGGAAAAGCGGCCAGGCACCTACTGCAAGCCCTCACGCACAAGTGCCCTGCGTTGTCCGAATTCAGAAGTCAAATCCATGGCCGTGACAAATTTTTTAAAAAAATTTGAAAATGCGTACTTTTGCCCCATTTAAAGGGGCAAAAGTACGCAGGTGAAATTTTTATTTTAAAAACATCACCTGGGCTCCAAATTGCTGTTGTATCCCGAAAAACGATTGAAACTGGTCTCAAAGGGTTCTAGTAGTGCCTAACCACATTTACTGTGAAAAAAAAGAAATGATTTGATCTCGACAAGCTCCCAAATAATTTTGTGAAGTCAATTTTTATTATACAGGAAAAGAACAAAGTTTAAGTGCCCAAATTGAACAGAGGAACATATAAATTTATTAAGATGCTGAGTTGCCTACATCCTCTATGTTGAAGTTCCTATACACCTCCCCCCACTACGCCCCACTTTTGGGTGCGTACTTTTGCCCCATTCTGGCTGCGTACTCTTGCCCCATTTGTAAACATTGGACAATATATACTAAAACTTTGGGCCCAAGGCCCAAGGTGTGAAAACAACAACAGATTATTGAAGCCAACACTATAACACATTTCTATAACACGGTGTCTGTCCGATTTTTTCCATCAACTATTCTACTCACAACAAACAATACTAATACTAAAAAAATCGATCTTTTTCGCATGAAAAGTGAATTTGCCTCATAATTCCGTCAAAACACATCCGCTTCGCTTAAAACCTCGTTAACAGGTGAAACTCAAATGTTGCCAACAACCAACACCTGGTAGCATAAATTCATACAAAACGCGCGAAAAGAGTGCGGTGCGTACTTTTACCCCGTGCGTACTCTTACCCCCACCTACCCTACACTTGCCGAGAGCTTAGCTTGCGTGGCAAGTGTAAGGGCCAATTTTATTTAATGGGAGAATCCATGTAACCTTGTCGTCCTTTCGTCAATTTTTGATTTTCAACAAATTTCTTTTTGTTTCTGCTTTCTATGTGACGGCAGGAATCGGAGAAAAATTTGTCTGACTCTTCTCTCGTCTCAGGCTAATTTTTTTTCAAGGGAGAAGTTAGAAATGTAACCCCTGGTGACGTGTAACCGGGGTCCTTCTCTGACTTTCCAATCAAATAAAATGCATTCACCATCACATGAGTCCTTTCGAAGAAGATATTTTAACTTGGTTATACCCTCAACTTTGAAGAAATGACAATCATAAGTGCACTCCTTTAAGTAGACTCGTGCTAGCTGAGCTGGAAGACATGTTACAGTGTTTCACGTAATTCTGGTGATGCTCCACTTTTCGTCTCTGCTGTGTCCAGCAGGTACCACTTTTGCGTTTCTTTGATTTACGTCTTTATATTAAGTTTTAACAACCAAAACGCAGCTCAGTTTAATCGGATTCATGTTTTATTACTCGCTAGAAATAAGTGTCACACTCATTCAGTGTAATTCTGGCGACGCCTCTCAAACTCTCTCTGAGGGAGGGGCCAACGTTTTGAACCCCTTAGAAGAGAAATGACCTGTCTCTGAAGCTTGATCAGTGGCAAAGTGTTTGCCTCATTAGCCCAACATAGATATTAATACCATGGTTTGACCGCGTTAAGTAGAAAAGGAACCAAGCCACATCAGCTATTGCCAAATCTAATCGGGCAATTTAGTTTTTTTACATGTAAACGGTTGCGCAGATTCTTGTGCAAGTTTCAGTGAATTTTTTTTTATAGCTCAAGGCAAATTCCTCAAAATTTTCGAAAGAACAACATAAACGTCCTCTTGTAAAAAATTAGATCGTGAAGTCAAATTTGGCCATAGCTGGTGTGGCTTGGTTCCTTTCTGTCGAACGTGGTTCAAATGAGGAAAGATGAGAATAAGGCTTTGTAGACTAAAAACAAAGATTTAATATTTAAGAATCTTTTTAAGCTTGTTATTGAATAAATCACTTTCTTCCGTTGTTTCTCCACATGGGTCATGTGGGAATTCCATGATCTTTGTCCAGTATTATTCCAAAGTATCTAGCTTGATCTACAAGTTTTATTTCCTCGCAGTTGCACTCCTTTTGCTCACCACGCAAACAACAACGAATGGTAATTTTTAGTTCCTCTGAACTTACGGAGGATGTTTCGAACAGTATACACTGTGTTTTACAGGTATTAAGATGTAAATTCGCATCTAACCATGGAATAATATACTGATTATGTACATGATCTACCAACATTTGTTTTTTCTAAGATTTTGCTGTGAAAACAAGAGCCATATCATACGCAACAGCAGACATTTACAGGCTTTGATAAGTTAAGGTCATGGAGTGTTTTTTCTCCATGCCTCATAAGGTGATGCCGTACAGCATCGGCTCCCAAAGACATAAAGACGGAGTACTCGTATCTAAAAGCACGGGGAAAAAGTGAAGCCTGGTTTGGCACTGGGTGCTTGTGTGAGTGTGTAAATGAGCGCGGGAATCCATGGCGGCAGACGGAGGTGTGTGAAAAAACAACCAAAAATGCCTCAAGGCATTTTCGAATTTTGATCACTTGGGGTGATACAGTAGCTTCCGAGACGCCCAAAACCGGTCGCCGTTTTGCTTAGAAGCGCCGGGTTGCGACGTTGCCATTTTTTAAAGTGGAAACCTTTAAAAATTCTTATCTCCGCCGCATCTCAACCGATTTCAATGAACTTTTTTTAAAATGTGCCTCTTAAATAGAGCTTTCTAGTGATGTATAGTTTCTTGGGGTTTACTTGGCTTTAAGTGGCACTTACGCGGTTTTAGCAGTTTTTGAGAGACACAAAAATTTAGTTTTTATTTTACCGCGATCGTGGAATCGACGGAATCTAAACAAATAACAGTCTAAATGAAAGTTCAGATTCTCACCTTTCTAACGAGCACAAAATCATCGCGGGGAAACGTTTAGTTCCCGAGATATGACCGCTCAAAGTTGGTCACATACGCTTTTGCGCAATGTGAATGCGCGTTATCACTAAGTCATTCGCGAACTAGGGGTCCCTTACGTTCAATTTACGTTGAAATAATTACACAGAGCAGTAAGGTGTACAACACGAGCCGTATTTTCACCTTCGGCTGCCGATGTGCGACGTTGCCATTTTTTGAAGTGAAAACTCTTAAAGATGCATAACTCCGCTGCATTTCAACCGATTTCAATGAACTTTTTTTTAAAATGTTCCTCTTAAATAGAGCTATCTAATGGCATTTAGGTTTCTGGATTTTATTTACCTTAGGGAGGCACTTAGGTCGTTTATATGGTTCTTTGCAGAGCTTTTTCATAAAAAAAATAGTGTTGCTATGTATGTTTTTTTTTTTTTCTCGGCGGATTGTGGGAGGGTTTAAAATGGCAAAATTTAAAAGAAGAAACTTTTAAAAAAAGGGATTCTTTTAATCACTATTCTTACGTGTACAAATATTGAAAGCGACGCTCTCATTGTACAGGAGAAGGTGGTGTTGCTAATTTACCAAGATTTTTACATTATACTTTCAGCGATGGTGATCTTCCGATCTAGTTTGAATGTTGAAAAAAATCGGGGGAAATACAGACCCCCTCCTGAAAAAAAAGAAAAAAAAAATAGCAAACTATTTTTTGTACGAAAAATCTCTGAAAAGAACTATATAAACGACCTAAGTGCCTCCCTAAGGTAAATAAAATCCAGAAACCTAAATGCCATTAGATAGCTCTATTTAAGAGGAACATTTTAAAAAAAAGTTCATTGAAATCGGTTGAAATGCAGCGGAGTTATGCATCTTCAAGAGTTTTCACTTCAAAAAATGGCAACGTCACACATCGGCAGCCGAAGGTGAAAATACGGCTCAAGTTGTAGACCTTACTGCTCTGTGTAATTATTTCAACGTAAATTGAACGTAAGGGACCCCTAGTTCGCGAATGACTTAGTGATAACGCGCATTCACATTGCGCAAAAGCGCATGTGACCAACTTTGAGCGGTCATATCTCGGGAACTAAACGTTTCCCCGCGATGATCTTGTGCTCGTTAGAAAGGTGAGAATCTGAACTTTCATTTAGACTGTTATTTGTTTAGATTCCGTCGATTCCACGATCGTGGTAAAATAAAAACTAAATTTTTGTGTCTATCAAAAACTGCTAAAACCGCGTAAGTGCCACTTAAAGCCAAGAAACCCCAAGAAACTATACATCGCTAGAAAGCTCTATTTAAGAGGAACATTTTAAAAAAAAAAAGTTCATTGAAATCGGTTGAGATGCGGCGGAGATATGAATTTTTAAAGGTTTCCACTTTAAAAAATGGCAACGTGGCAACCCGGCGCTTCTAAGCAAAACGGCGACCGGTTTTGGGTGTCTCGGAAGCTACTGAATTACCCCAAGTGATCAAAATTCGAAAATGCCTTGAGGCATTTTTGGCCGTTTTTTCACACACCTCTTTGATATGAACTTGTCCTCTTGATTTTTCCACATTTCTTCTTCGAAACGTATTTTAAATGCCTAAAACGAATGTATTAAGGTGATTCGATGGACGCCATATTTTGTGTCAGACGTCATACGATATATCGCATCAGGTGGTTCCATTTTTTCAGCTACTCGTCATTTTTCTCCAAGTTTGAGATCGCAAATCTGATGTCAGGAGACTAAAGCACTCACTTACCTATTTTAACAACGAAATTCAACGTAATTGAAGGCGTGGTTTTTTTAGAGAGAAAACATCGCATTCGATACTGATATCTAAACTGCACTCGAATGCGATATTTTCTGTCTAAAAAAACCACACCTTTATGACGTTGAATTTCTTTGTTAAATTTGGTAAGTGAGTACTTTAGTCTCCT